AGAGAATAGAATAGGAAGGAAATAATTTGGTCATAAAAGCAGAAAAGACTTTCGTATGAAGGAGAGGTGAAATCATGCTCAGGACAAGATGTTGTATTACAACATCTAGTGTTATAAAATTATGAGTAGCTCAACATCTAGAGGAAAAGGCAATAAAGAGAACATTAATGTAACAAAAACAGTAATTTATACATATTTTTATTCTACTTTTCTTAAATGAGGAGTATGTTCTGAAGACTTACCATACTGAAACAAAATTAACTTCCTTTCCACAAGAACTCAAACTATTCTGTTTTATTCATATATAGCAGGTTTGATATACCAGGTGTTACATATAGAGAGAGACTGTAGGAAGCTTCTATAAAGATACAGCTTAAATTTGAAGACCTTGTTTCCTCTCATTTGAATTCAATGAATAAATAGAAGACACAATTGGACTAACAGTCAGTGGAAACTCATTTCTTATTGATACAACTGCATCTCTGTAAACTCTTTCTTATTATTGAAGTTATTTGTTCAGGGTCTTTAAACAAGGCTCATGACAACCCAGTAAGCCTGCCTTGATCACATTCATGAGGTGACTCAGGAACACAATAGCTGAAATCTCTGAATGTAGCGGTTTAATCAGGGTGGAGAATATATTGCGGGGGCGATTAAAAATTGCATCAGAGAAATAATGATCCATCCTTAATTACTTTCCTTTGTAGTTAGCTTAGATCAATATCAACTGTTTGTTTTATTCAAGCTCTTTTATTTTTCCTTTTTAAAGAAGACATTGCGTGACTGTGCAAGTACAAGAACTAAGAGAAACTCATAAGCACTTGCCAGAGAAGGTTCAAAGTGCGATAAAAGTGACAGACATCGGTTCCTGCAGAGAAAGGCCTATGCTGTGAAACACCTAACAGCCCATCCAGAATGAGAGTCAAAGTAAGGTTATCATCTAATTTTTACCAAGGTGTGGCGATCTCTTCATAAATATATGAAAATAGAAAAGCTTGAGGTTAAATACATAATGGTATTTGGTTTGGGTTTGGATTACTTTTTAAAACGTTGTGGTGGGTATATAGTAGGTGTATAGATTTAGAGGGTACATGGATATTTGATACAGGCATGCAATGGGTAGTAATCACAGCATGGGAAATGGGGGGTCTGCATCCCCACAAGCATTTATCCTTTGTGTTACAATCCGATTACACTCTTTCAGTTATTTTTAAATGTACAATTAAATTATTTTGACTGTAGTCACCCTGTTATGTTATGAAATACTAGGAGTTAATAATCACATCACAGAGGATGGGGTATCCATCTCCTCAAGCATTTATCCTTTGCTAGTTGTTTTAAAATGCACAATTAAGATACTGACTATAGTTACCCTGTTATGCTATCAAATATGAAGTCTTGTTCATTCTATTTTTTTTTTGTACCCATTAGCCGTTCCCACCTGCCCACCACCAACACAAGATGAATGAATAAGGAACATGTGATACATATATATGTTAGTGTTTTTAAGTGAATCTCCTGAGTGCTTCCTTGACTGCAGCCACCCAGTGGAGTAGCTTAATTACTGTAGTTGCCACTTTTAATCTTTCCCGGGGTTCTCATTATTAGTGCCAAGTGTTATAACTATTATTGTTGTTTTATTTTTTGCCAAGGAAAATGAGGAAATGAATAGTAGCATTCTGAAAACAAAGGATACTCCAGAAACAAACCCAAAGTTCCCATCCCATGCCAAACTGGAAAGAATGTATGGAAGTAAAATAAAACGTACTTTCAGGGTGGCCTATTTTGAGGGCACATCTTGTGATCTGCGAGGGACATTGCACCTGGTTGCCAACACTGATGTCACAGACAAATGAAACCACACACTCCTTTTGGGTGTGGCATCATACTAGGGCATTGTACCTCCTTTAAATTAGATTTCATTGACTGGGAAAATTTATATACAATTTGGAAGATAATCTAGAAACAGTCCAAGTGTTCGTGTGAATGCTAAAATGGCCATCATCCCTCCCTGCGATGGCAGGGAGTGTCACAGATCTTCTTTAAGGGATTGTGTCTCTGAGCTGGAAAGTCATTATGTCACCCACATAACTTTATGAAGAGTTATGCTGCCACATTGCTGGGTCGCATTATCCCGCCTCATCCCTGCCGAAGGTAAATTCACACAGGGCATTTCTCTTGTGGCTTTTTGGCCTCACATTTTAAAACCCATTACTAGGTAGTGTAAGAAAGAATTAGGAGCCCAGGCATGGTGGCTCATGCCTGTAATCCAGCACTTTGGGAGGCTGAGGTGGGCAGATCATTTGAGGTCAGGAGTTTGAGACCAGCCTGGCCAATATAGTGAAATCCATCTCCACTAAAAATACAAAAAAATTAGCTGGGTGTGGTGGCGCATGCCTATAGTCCCAGCTACTCAGGAGACTGAGGCAGGAGAATCACTTGAACCTGGGAGACAGAGGTTGCAGTGAGCTGCTTGGGCAATAGGGTGAGACTCCATCTCAAAAAATAAAGAATTAAGAATATAGGCTCTGGGGGCAGTTTGGGTCTGAGTCCCGAGTGGCCATGTGACCTAACCACTGTGCCTTATCTCTTCATCGTTACTTTTTCATGAGGTCGTCTTGAAAAATAAGAAAATACACAAAGTGGTAGAATACTAACTGACTCATAGTAAGTATGCAGTAAACATAGGCATTGTTATTATTATCAATATATAATAATCACTAACCAGGTTTAATTTAAATGTTCAGAGAATGAAGTATTTTTTCAAGAATTGAATAGAAACTTCTTTTTGTTAAAATACTTGTAGGCATTCCTCCAATCCTTATATGAATATACTTATAATATTACCTAACATCAGTATAGTAAAAATAATGTAACTCTGATGATAATCTTGCAGTGCGTCAGAATATCCTTCTGAACATGTTTGATCATTATAAAAAACTGAAAAAGGCTTGGAAGTTTAGAATTAATATGCATTGACCCAAGTAATCCCTTGAAGATTCAAAAATTGTTAACTCATGAGCTACATGAGGATTTCTTTCCCATACCATTGGCTTTTAAAAGGGGAAAAGTAGCACACAAATCCAACCAAATGATTCCCGTTAGTTAGGGCTAGTGGACATTTCACCATGCTTCTCAAATTGCTCACGCTTGCACATTCATCTCTTTTGAATATGGGCTTTTAGATACATTTCCCAAAAACTGAAACTAGAACTTGTGCTTGTGTGTGTATAAATTCCTATATAAAAGATGGATGCTTAGAGGGCACAGCCAAGGCATACACATTCAGAAATTTAAAGACCTTATTTGATAAACAAGAAAGAATAAAATCAAATAAATTAAAATTTTAACTCAAGAAACTAGAAAAGTAGCAACAACATAAACCCAAAGAAAGCAGGGGGAATTCACAAATGTCAAAGTGGAAAATAATAAATTAAAAAATAGAAATAAATAGGATTTATAAATAATCTAAGATCAATTTCAGTGAAAAGTGCAGACAAAATCTGGCTCTTTTGGTCAAGAAAAACATAGTAAAATTTTAAATGACATAATTATAGGCCAATAAGAAATTCAAAATTATCAGAGGATATTATTCATAATTCTTTGCCAATCTACTTGGAAAACTTGATGAAATATATAATTTTTCTAGGAAATATATACATTTTAAAAATAGAAAAAATGAAAAAGTTAAAACAATAATGAAGGAAAAAACAGTCACAAAAGAAATCAACAAAGTTGTCAAAGTATTACTCCCTTTTTCTGCATCCCACCATAGATCTTATGACAAATTTTTAGAAAATCTTTTTAGAATAAACTATGCTTGTGCTAGTGAAGCTATTATATAGCATATAAAACTCTGGACATTAAAGTATATTTATTACTTGTGGTTAGCATGACCTGTTACTAAAACTTGGCAAAGGTAGCAAGAAGAAATAAGATTTCAGGATACAAAAATCATAATAAAAATTGGCAAGTCCACCAAAGCATTGAAAAGAATACTAGGTTTTGAAAAAAACAGCATTTAGTTTAGAAATTCAATGATAGCTCCAAACTAGGAAATCTAGTATGTAATTTACCACATTGATAGAACCAAAGAAACAAAACATATTTTATTAAAATAAATGTTAAAAGTGCCTTTGATAAAAATTAAACACTTTGTTATAAATCTCTCAGTAAGCTAGAAAGATGTTTATATTATCTGACAAAGCGTTTTTATCACAAATCAAACCCAACATTACTATTTGAATGATGAAAAATAAAGAAACTTGCAATATAATCCTGCTTATCATTTTTCAATATTTTTCTGAAGGAACACCCAGTAAAAAAAAGTAAGCAAAAGAAAGAAAAGGTATATCTCTTTGTGATACAAAACTATCATTACTTACAGAGGGTAAGATTCACTACCTGGAAAACCCAAGAGAGTCAACCGAAAACAAGCAGATCTAATAACTGAACTCAGAAAAGAGGTCAGATACAAAATACAGACAATGACACAATGAAGAGCTTCCTTTTGTGCCAGTAATAATCAGTGGGTAATCCACAAAACTTTGTGAGCATCTAAGATTTTCTCGACATACAAAAACTTGAGCAAGGTAGCCAAATATAGTATGAAAAGAATGACTGTATTAGTAATCAAAGAGATATAAATTGAGATGGCAATTAAATTGTATTTTATATCTAAATTAGCAAAGATCAGAATATGATAATAACCTGTGCTGGTAAATAGAGCACAACAAAGCACTCTCATATATCATTTATACAAATATAAATAAATATAACTTTACTGGTGGATATTTCTTTTGTATCTATATATATATTTAAGTTTTATTTTAGATCCGGGCGCAGGGGTATATGCGCATGTTTGCTACATGAGTATACTGCATACTGGTGGGCTCTGGGTTTCTAGTGTACCCATCACTCAAATAGTGAACATTGTACCAATAGGTAAACTTTCCATCCCCACACTCCTCCCACCCTCCCCACTTTTGGAGTCCCTAGTGTCTATTATTTTCATCTTTTTGGCTTTGTGTACCCATTGTTTAGCTCCCATTTATAAGTGAAAACGTGCAGTATTTGGTTTTCTGTTTCTATGTTGATTCACTTAGGATAATGGCCTCCAGCTACAACCATCTTGATGCAAAAGACATGATTTCATTCTTTTTTTATAGCTTTGTGGTATTCTATGGTGTACATACCACGTTTTCTTTATCCAGTCAACCAATGGGGGACACTTAGGTTAGTCCCATGGCTGCTGTTGTGAATACTGCTGCAATGAACACACAAGTGCAGGTGTCTTGTTTTAAATATGATTTCTCTTTCTTTGTGTAGATAACCAGTAATGGAATTGCTGAGCTGAGTGACAGTTCTATTTTTATTTCTTTGAGAAATCTCCATGCTGTTTTCCAGAGGTTGAACTAATTTACAACAGTGTATAAGTGTTCCCTTTTCTCTGCATCCACATCAGCACCTGTTGTCTTTTGACTTTTTAATAGTTATTCTGACTGGTGTAACATGGTATCTCACTATGGTTTTAATTTGCATTTATCTGATGATTAGAAATGTTGAACATGTTTTCATGTATTTCTTGGCCACTTGTTTACTCCTTTTTTTTTAATTAAAAAAAATTAATTTCTTTATTCATTTGGAGGGATGGAGTTTTGTTCTTCTTGCCCAGGCTGGAGTACAATGGTGTGATCTTGGTTCACTGCAACCTCCACCTCCTGGGTTCAAGTGATTCTCCTGCCTCAGCTTCCCAAGTAGCTGGGATTCTGGGCATGTGCCACCTTGTCTGTCTAATTTTGTATTTTTATTTTTTAGTAGAAATGGGGTTTCACCATGTTGGTCAGGCTGATCTCGAACTCCTGACCTCAAGTGATCCACTTGCCTCAACCTCCCAAAGTGCTGGGATTACAGGTGCAAGCCACCATACCTGGCCAACTTTTGTTATTTTTAAAGAGTATTTTCCCTAAGTATAGAATTCTAGGTAGGCAGTTATTTTGTTTTAGCAAAGATGTCATTCCATTGTCTTCTGGCTTACATTGTTTCTACTGAAGAATCAGATATAATTTTATTGTCTGAGGTAACTTATTTCTAGCTATTGTTTTCTTTATCTCCAGCTATTTTTTTTTCAATATTTTCTTGTTGTTTTATTTCAGTAGTTTTACTGTTAAGACTCAGTGTAGTTTTCTTTATGTTCCTTTTGAATTCATAGTGCTTCGTGAATCAGTGGCTTGAGGGTTTTCATCAGTTTTAGAAACTTAATGCCATTATTTTTGATACAATATTTCTTTTTCTCATTCTTCTCCTCCTAGGAATCTAATAACATACAGTTTAGACCTTTTGACCATGTATATGTCTTTACATTCTTTGCTATATTCTCTCTCTCTGGTCATTTTTCTCTTATTTGTCTTTTAGTTCATTAATTCCTCTTTATCTCTATTTAGTATTCTATTAAATATATCTTTTAAGTTTTTAAATTCAATTTGTTGTATTTTAATTCCAGAATTTCTATTTTTTAATGGCTTTCAGTCTTCTGCTGAAATTTTTACTTTATCATCAATTATCTTGAATGCACTAAACCCAGTTGTTTTAAAGTCTATTTTCATCAATTTAATGTTGATTACCTGTAGGTCTATTTGTATCGTCTGTTTTTTTTCTTACTCCTGTCCTTTAGTATACCTGGACCTGACAACTATTGCTTACATTATAAATATTGTTTATGAAAAATTGTGGAGGTTCTGCATGATATGTGGAGAATGCATTTCTGCTTCTGGCAGGCAGTTAGAATAGAAGCAGATCGTCCTAACTTAGCCTGGTATCAAGGTGATTCTATGCTGAGTTGTCAATTTTGTGAATGCTAATTTGTTTCAGGTTTTCTTTTACTCCTAGCTATAGCCCTGTCAGGTATTTACTGCAAATCTAGGATGTTTATTAAGGTCTCTCATCCTTAGCAACCTCTGGACTTCATAAATATTATGAGACTTTTAAAAGTCCTGCTTAACTTCTTAGCCTTTCAGTCACTTTTGTCTTTTTCTTCTCAGCCTCTAGGCCTTTTGTAAACTGTCTTCATAAAAGGAAAAGGATCACCAAATGTTTAGCTCACTTTTTTGGAGTACCTTTTTTTGCACGTTCCTGCTGTCTGGGATCTTGCTCCCTCTACTCTTGGCTACGTTTATAGCCTTGAATTCCGGTTTTTGTCTCTTTAACCCCTTGAGATTACTGTCAACTTTGACCAGCTTCTTGGCCAGTTAGCCTCATATTTCTGCTCAGCTTCTGAGCTTTCAGACATGCCCCATTCATAAACTGGCAAATGACTCAAAGGAAAAAATAGTATGAGATGTTGGGCTCACTTTCACGAGTTTCCCTGCCCTTTGACGTCTTGCATCCCCAAATCCTGGCTGCACTGGGAACTTTCTGCTGCATTCGAACAGGTTTTGTTTTGGTATTTCGTTCATTTTTGAATTTTTTATGGTGATAGCATCTAATAAAAACTAGTCATTTATAGCAGAGAGGGGACATACTCTCTGAAGGGACATCAAGGATTTATGCATGACTCCTCTCTTTCTCACACACCCCGCTCGTAATATCTCAACAAATCCTGTTGGCTCTACCTTCAAAATATATTCAAAGTCTCCTACTCCTCACCATCTCCTCTGTTACAACTCTGGTCCAAGTCATTTTCACATCTCACCTCATTATAACAATAGCCTATTTACTGTTCAACCTATTTCAACCCTTGCTCAATACAGTCTATTTTCAACAAAAAAGACTGAACGATCTATTGAAAATTTAAGTCATTCCTTTGCTGACAACACTACAATGGGCTCCCATTTCACTCAGAGTAAATTCCAAAGCTGTTATTGTGGTGTGACAGATTGTATTTTCCAAAGATAGCCACATAATATCTTTTGCCCCATATCGAGCTTCATCATTTCCTCATCAAGAAATGGGGTCTATGTGTCTCCCCACTGAACCTGAACAGACCTTTAGGCTGACTTGATCAGTAGAGTATATAGAAGGTGATGCTCTGTGACTTCCAAGGCTAGGTCACAAGGGCCATTCATTTCCTCCTTGCTCCCTTGGGAAGCTCACACTTGGAAACTAGCCACCAATCTGTAAGGAAGCCGAAGATACCCAGAGAAAGATAATAACGAGAAGAAATGAGGTCTACAACCCATAGTTCTGGCCAAGATCACAGATTACAGCCAGTACTACCTTGCCAGGATGTGACTAAGCTATTATTTACGTGGATGCCCCAGCCCCTAGTCAAGCTGCCCCATGCGATGCCATATGGAGCAAAGATAAGCTTTTTCCACCAATCCCTGCTTAAATTGCAGATTTGTTAGCAAAATAAATGGCTATTATTGCCAGTAGGCTTGAGGGTAGTTTGTGATGAAGAAATAGATAACTGACATACATCACCTACAAGATCCTTCATAATATGATTCCTAAGTATCTTTTTAAAATATCACTTCTTCTGCATCTTATCTCACCTATTTTACTCTGAAGATGTTTGAATGTGCCAAGCCTTTCCCTACCTCGGGGTCTTTATGCTTCTTCTTTTGTCTGCCTCAAATATTTTACCTCCTTTTATCCCAGGCTTTGTTCCTTCACCTCCTTCAAGTCTGCTCTCAAATATAATTTTATCAGTGAGAACTTTTCTAACTTCTTTGCTTTTCTCCATAGCACTTCTCATCAACTTATATATTATATGTTTTATTTACTGTGGTCAATTGTCTCTCTTTCCCCATAAGAATATAAACTACCTGAAAGGGCAGATTTGTTTTGAGTCCCAAATGCTTTTAATGAGCAAATAATAGGGAATCAATAAATTTTATAGCAAATAAATCAGTTTATTTAAAATGCTGCTTTGCTGACTATTTCTGTCACTCATCTCTTTTTTGATGCACGTACTCTCATTAGTCATCCATCTCTTTTTGATCCATCCACACTCATGGACAGGCTTACATACAGAAACTGGGAATTCCTGAGAAATCCATCTGTAAAATGTAGTCACTCTTCTCAAAGATACTTCATTTGTTTTTTCAAACAAGCACATGACCTTAGTTTCCTAAGATCAAACAGCATTCACTAAGTCTTAAAAGTGGCTGGGAATCTTCTTTAAGCTCCCATTTTGTCAGCTCGCTTTTCTTTACTGGTTCTGGTCCTTCTGTGTTGTCATTTTAATCCAGTGGTAGCTTCATCTCCTATCTTTTAGGAAGGCATAGATTGCTCTTGCCTGTGTAGTCTACTTCCCACAAAAGACCAAAGTCTGTAAAGTTCCCAGAGTGCAAGAAAACAAGTCTTTTCACAATCATTCTCCATATTTCTGCCCTCTGTTTTTCTACTTTTCCTATCTGGGTCAGAGAGCCTCTTTTTGTTTTCAGTGGATCCTGAAAGTGCCTTTCTAGTTAGCTATCAAACCTGTTCTTCTCTAGTGTACAATCATATTATATAGTCTTGTTACCATATGTAATCAGAATAAATAAAACAATACTCTCAATTTCTCCCTTGAACATTGAGAAGTAAATATCAACAGAAGTCATTTGACCAGATCAAGCACATTTCCATTCCACATGCAATTTGCTGATGTGTTTGCCAAGGGAAAGGTCAAAAGGAAGTTGCATAAAAAATGACTGAATCTGCTTGCTTGGTCCTTTTTTAAAGGACCCTTCTAGAGAACATTTGCCTTCGGCAATGGACTCTGAAGGTCACTGTCCTCTGGAGCTTAAGAACCAATATAATCATAGAATCCAGCCACTCAACAAATCCAAGCATCATACTCCAAAAGAGCTGCTGTTTCCAGTTTCTTTATTCTTCATAAAAAAATATGGATAGGGATGTGTTTGATAAAAAATCTGCTGAAACAGAAATAGAGAAGTCTTCCAGGTCTGATTTTGATTCTTTGCTTACTCTGAGATGAAAACACTCCAAAAGTCACCTTGCTCTTGTTCCTAGATTCCTTGAGTCAACTTGTCATTCTAAAACTTATCTACTGGATCAAAAAATATGAAATGCAAAAAAAAAAAAATAGGTTGAGACAGACTTGCCACATGGTTTGACTGCTTATCAAGTAACAAAAATCTAACTGTGCTTAGTATGGAGATACCATCTTCTTAGAGAGTTGTAAGTGAATTAGCATTGGAAAAACAGGTATCTGATGAATTTGGGGGCCTAAATGGCTTATGCTTAAAATGTTTATAAGGAAGAATAGCAAATGGATAAATTAGAGAGTGTAATTCAGTGTAATTGAAGAGCTATGGGTATACCTAAGATCAAAGATCAGAGACACAGAGAATACTTCTAGCAGATAAATTTCATACCCTTTTAAACCTAAGAAATACAGCAAGACCCAACCAAGTACCTGAACATGCTTCTCTTATATCCTTGTCTCTTTTTCCATGATTGTTGAGGCGTCTTAAAAGATTGGGGTGCCTGCTTCTCCCAGGAGGGGTAATGTTACATCTTTTCACAGATGGAAGCAATTTGTTCAATGTAAGCCCTCCAAACTCAACAGTTTTCCAGTTTGTACCTCAAATGGAGAAGAAAAGGGCAATCAACTAAAGTTCTGTTGACTTTAGTATAAGGTTGCAAGAGCAGTTATTTACCACTCAGCCCCTTATATTTCCATAACGCTCTTTCTTAAGTTCACTCCCAAGGCTGTGAAGCTGTGGGCAGAGTCTCTGTGTTGACAGAAACTCCAATTTGGAGTTTCTAAGCATCTGTCTCCACTACTTTTTTGATAAGAAACTTCCCTTCTCCTCCCTACTGATGTTAAGTAGAAAATGTGGATTGACTTTCTTTTTATTAAGAGGAATTCACTCAAAGAGAACTGTAGGGAAGAACCCTCTGTAGGGGGCGCCTTTTTGTGACTCTCCTTAGTGGCTTCACTAATGCCCCCTTACAGCACCTGGGATCGCTGCTCCCTTCCATGTGGGCTCCTTCAAGTAATGGTTAGTAATAATGCTTCCCTGTAGCCAAGTCTTCTGTATGGTTGCCACGGTTTCTCACTTCCTCATACAGCCAAGAACTGGGGGAAACCTCTTTGTTCCAGCCCCACATAAACAGTCATTCTTACTCTGCTGAACCCACCAGGACCATGTAATTTTTAGACAGAAAGTCTACAAGTCCTATCAAGTGAGTTGGAACTGCAAGATACCACACTTTTAACAGCTCTTTAACACTCATTCCATAGGCTCATTGGCAAATCATAGATCCTCAACTCTTTCAGCTCAGGGTGAGCTTTTAGATTCCCCAAAGGTGTCCCAGCAAGGGCAAGGCAGTGTAGAGCCCTTCACTTCCTCCTAGAAGTGTTGGACGCCAGGTGAGTATTTGGCAAACAAATCACGATCCTCTTCAGACATTCCTCCATAGGGCACAGGAACAACAAGTACCCTAGGCCTGACAGAAATTTCCAGGTACCCATCATTCCACAGGACAGGTATGCAAAATAAATTCTTTACATCTTATGAAACAACTTTGTGCACCCGCACACGTGTACTCTGTAGTGTTTGCCTCTGTGTGTGTAAACACATAGAAAATATTTGCTGTTCAGATTTATGTGACTCTGTGTGTGTGTGTGTGTGTTTTGTGGTAAATACTTTGAAAGCACCATTTACTCTTTATCTCCCTTCCCTATTACAGTTATAGCTAGATCCCAAAACTAGGTTCAAGGTTTACATCTGAGGTCTAAGTCACAAGGAGGATAATAAATATAGAATATGGGATAGGAGGCAGCAGAGTCTACAGAAAACCTCAGTGGCCTGAGCTTGAAAGAGGTTTAGTGTCTGCCATGTCATAGATATAATTCTGATGCTCATGGTTTGACTTGCTTATTTCAAAAGTAAAAATGAATATGTATTAGGTTCGTACAAAAGTAATTGGGATTTTTTAATGACAAAAATCACAATTGCTTTTGCACAACCTAATATTTTCAGTGGGGTCACAAATATACTCGAACTATACTCCAATGTGTAGGGAAAAAAATGGAATCTCTTTATTTTTTCCTTTAATGGATCTGATTTCCCTCCTAAGTCCCCACAACGCTAGATAGTGACATAATAACACAGCTCAATTCAGTGTTTTCAGATCAAATAACTTAAAGTCTCTTTAGAAAAATTCTCAGTCTCATGTGGATGAATGCATTGACTTTTTTTTTTCTGACCTTCTCTCTCCTGCTCTTCTTAAGGACAGTGTTGGGACAAAGAAGGAAGTGTGGCTCCAGCAACCTTGTGGTGGCAGAGGGGAGCCTGGGTCCTCAGTTGCTCTGGGCTCTGTCTGGAACAGAGACAAATGTTGCCTCACTAGTCCTGGCCTCATGTCCCTGCATAGTCTGGGTGTCTGCTGCTGGGGTCTGGTGCTCGTGTAACTTGTGGGCTGGTTTCTCAGCTTGACAGTGCCTCATCACCTTCTAGCAAGATGTGATTCCTTTTACCTGCTTTATGGATATGGTTGTGATTCCAAATTTGTCCTTGCCAAGTCTCCAGCTCATGACATTAGCAACTCTTTGCCCCACCAGGGCCACTGCAACCAAAGTTCTTCATCCCAACTCTCAGCCAACTGTGTGCCAGCCCACTCCAAGGACACAGGAGAACTCCAGGGCTCTGTAAATTTCACTTATGACTCATTGCTGCGGTGCGTGTGTGCTAACCCTCTTCTTACAGGCAATACTACGCTGTGCCCCAAGGTTGCAAGACAGTCTATGAGGGGATTTCCTCTCAGATCCTAATGGGAAGTTTGGCAGAAGCTCTCCTGCCCTCTTGTTTTCCTCAGTGTATTTCAAGTGCTTTTCATCACCTCTTGAACTTCAGTCCAGAGAGGAAAGGCCGGGACAGTTTGCATCTCACTCTTTCTTCTTGCACTTTTCTCTTCTCACAATACTTGTACTAGAAAAGAAATGCATACCTCTCCTTCTTTCTGTAATGACAATTACACCTAAACATCTAGGCTCAAAATACTAGATTATTTCTTAAACACTTATACATTCCAGAGTAATCTTAGGAGGGAGGTAAGGTAGTGTTTCAGTTTTCTATCAATACATAATAAATTACCCCAAACTTAGCAGCTCAAAATAATACTTATTTTATTGTATTTCGGAATTTTGTGAATTTAGTATTCAGAAAAGGCTCTGCTGCACAGTTCTTCTTTGCTCTACGTGATCTCAGCTGGGGAAGCTCAACTGGGACTGGAGGATGTCCTTCCAGGACGACTTACCCATATGGTGGGCAAGTTGATACTGGTCTCCAGGAGCCTCTTAACAGGGCTCCTTAGACTTCCTAATAGTAGAGTGCCTCAGTTCCAAGAAGCCTAGTTGCAAGTTTTAATAAGGCAGCGTTACAATGGTACAACGTCACAATGGTATTTTATTTATTGAACAATGAGGTCAATGGTCAATGTAGTCAGTCTAAATTTAAAGGGAGGGGAGGAGTAGACTCCATCTTCTGATGGGGAATGGTAAGAAAGGAACTGATGGCAGCCATCTTGGAAAATAAGCTGCCATATTTTTAATTTAGCTCCATGTAGTCATTCAGGGACTCAACCTGTAACTTCAAATGTCATCCCAGGGGTTTCCTTCATCCCAGACATGTGGAAAAAGGCAGGAACAGATGTTGCATATTTTTGAACATGGCCTGAGAGTGGTACATAGTGTTTCAACTTACATACCATTGACTAGAACTCAGCTACAGGGTCACACCTGACCTCAAGGGAGGCTGAGAATAGAGCTTCTCTGTGGATCCAGAAAAAAGAAGAGAACAGGGTTCTTGGTGAGCAGAGGTCACAGCACATGCTGTAGTCAGGTCAGCCAGGCTAGCTGTTGTTATGATATGCAGGAGCTAAGAAAGTTTAGAAAAGTTTATCTTTCTTGCCAATGTCTGACTTTCAAATCTATTTTCCTCACAGTGAGTCTTCCTTAAAAAAAAAAAAAAGCTATTGACAGTCAGAGATGAGCAATGAATGACCTTATTGTACTGCGGCTGTTTGCCATGCTGAGTGGGAAGCTCCAGAGTCACAAGATTGACAAGGAGTGAAAATGCATCTGAAAAGACAGAACCTTTTCCTATCTTCATCATGTATGCTTACATAATCAAATCATGTGCATGATTATCAGAAAACTGCATACACCAAAATTTTGTTGGTTTGAAATATTTATTTCGAAAATTGGTTTGCTCTTAAATAGCAATAGTAGATCCATCTCCAAAGTCCTCAGACACCCTAAAAGCCAGATAAAGAATTATATTCACCTTTGTGTCCTTGCCTCCCTCCAGAGAGCAAATATTTGTTGAGCATCTACTATTGTCTAGGCATGTTTTTAGAAACTGCATATCCATCAGGAATGACCAAATCCCTTTGTCCATGGGGGCTACATTCTACTGTGGGACTCACATTCTAGTGAGTGTATGCTCCAATATCTAATCAAGTATTCAAAGTTTACAAATACTTGCAGAATGTGAAGGAATGGAATTATTATAAACTCTAAAATGCAAGGTAATTTTAGGCTCTTTCAGCTTTTAGAAAAAATTATGTTGAATCCGATAAAATTTACTTAAAAAGTAAAAAATTTGAGTGCTTGCTACCTATGCACTTATTACTTATGCACAAAGTATTAACATGATTAATAGCTATCAGAAATATAAAAATATCCCAAGATCGGGCCTTTTTCTCACTTCTTCCATCTAATTGCTACTCAATAACAAATTATTCTTATTAATAAAAGATAGAGTATACTACTGAAATGAATACAAACATATCATAGGAAAATATTTTTAAAACATTTCTTAACTTAGAAGAGGTAAAATAGGACCTTCAAAATAATGTTGGTAATTTACAAAATTTCTAATTAATGTCATAATAACTTTATGTTTATAATTATTCCTGTGGTTGTAACTGCTTTTGTAATCAAGTGATTGTTTCAATAAATATGTGAATCCCAGCCAGATTTGGTGAACAACAATAATGAAATCAGCACATAACTCTCGAAAGACTACTTTTTAACACTCTTCCACACATTCCTATGCATCTTTTCATTTTTTAAAAAATGCCAATTAATGATTTGTATGGAAAGTGAGGCCATTCTACATAAAACTCAGATAATATTGTGAGGTTTGCAGATTAAACTATGGAAAGTTAACATTGGGAACACTCAGTATTAGTTATCACTTAATTGCCATGTCACCTTGCTCTTTAACTGTCTGCTACTTAATCATTTACCGTCTGTTAGATGGGAAAACTTCCTCCATGGTTTTATAAAGATTAGATAATAACTATAAAGTAATTTCTGGAAAAAAGTTCTTGGCAGAGGTGTAACAGGGATAGACAATAGTTTATTATTAACCAACAAGATGGAATCCAACTATCCAAGTCATGGGAAGCAGTAATGGCTAAGAAGTCCAGCACATTCGATAGCGGATAATAAATGTCACTTGGTAAAGGTTAGGATAAACAAAAAGAATGTGATGGACAACACTGGCCCTGAGCTTTTTATGCCCCATAGATGTCTCCTAATTCAATCTGATCCATAAGTCCTGTGGCAGT